CCCCAAAACCCCAAAACCCCGAGAGTTAAATCTAAACAGAAATATCACAAGTATTTGATGAATTTTAATGAAATTCGAATTCATCATTTATTTAATAATAAATAGAATTAATTCTTAACATGAAGCACGTTAGTCCTAGCCGTTTAAAATTAAGTGAAAAAAGAATTGAGCATATAGGAGATGATGCATCTATATAAGATAAACAAATTAGATTTGATTTCACCAACCTACAAAATATAAACAATACAGAAAGAAAGTTTGGGTCGATTGAAAACTTGAATCTTCAAATTGATGATGATAAAGCAGAATTTGATACTGTTAAAACAGATTTTGACAAATAAAAATAGACTTAATACTAGAATGATTATGTTTTGGGGTTAAACACAACTGAAGAGCAAAAAATGACTAATGAGCAATTAGAAAATGATAAAAAGAAAAGGGATCTCAATAGGTATATAATAAATCCGTAAGAATTTCTAGAGACTGAGTGAGGCCTGATTACTTATAATAATGCATACGTCACTTAACAAAATAAATCGAAAAAAGACTAAAAAGATTTAACTATATAGAATAGTTGGGGTTTAAAGCCTAGTGAGATTTTAAATCAAAATGAAAAGACCAGAAAAGCAATGAGTGAAAACATAGGAAAACCATATTTTCAAGATATTTCTACTACTAGTAGAATACCATCTTCCACTACAGTTTAAAATAATAAAGAAAAAATAAATTAAAATATTGATAACTCTTAAACTGATGATATTAAAAAGAAAAATAAATTTAAAACTATATCTAGAAGCATCATGAATATAGTAACAAAAAAAAAGTAAAACACTAATTAGGCTAATATATTACAATAGAAATTTAGAGAAACTTTGAAGTTAAAGATAGCATAAGATCAAAAATATCAATAAATATTTGAGCCAGTAAATCTAAATGAAATTTATAAACTTGAGGGAAATGAAAACAAAGACTTATGTAAAGATTATTTCGAGAATTAAATCAAGCAAAAGATTGGAAAGGCGCTTGCAGATCATTTTAACAAAAATTACCGAAAAGATTTAAAACAAAATTAGGATAAAACTGAAGTTCAAGCAATTAAAGATCCTTAAAAATCTTAGGATTTTGCAGAACATATTAAAAGCAAAGGTTTGTCAGAACTTTTTGAAAAAAATAAGCTTAATAATACAGAGGCCAAAGACAAATAAAAAACTGGCCAGGAATAAAGAGAATTCTAGACAGAAAAATAACCCAAAGGATGTATTATAAACCCTGATTCAGCATTCATGTTATGCTGGAATGTATTAATCTCAATTCTATTGATTTACACTTGCATTCAAAGTCCCTACTAAATTGCGTTTATAGATAGCTTAGATCTAAAATGGACTATCATTAATGGACTTGTCGATTTCCTATTTCTTGTAGATATTATTGTAAATTTCTTCACTGCTTATTATAATCACAATTACAAGCTTATTTAAGATAAGTGATTAATAGCAAATAACTACATTCAATCTTGGTTTTTTATAGATCTTTTGACTATCATACCCTTCGACTATATTCTTGAATCAGAGAGTTACAATAGGCTAGGAAGAATATTAAGACTTGGGAAATTTTATAGGATGGTTAAACTAATAAGACTACTCAGAATTGGAAAAGTAGTAAAATATGAATCTCTCTTTTAGTAGTTTGTTCATAGGTTGTTTCAATTAACTATTGGTTATGAGAGGCTACTATTTTTGCTAATCATGTTTTTGACTCTTTGCCATATTGCAACATGTCTCTAGTAAGTTACATTAATTTTAGAAATTCAATATTTTTAGGATATTCATTGCAAAATTGGAAGAAAATTAAAAATAGTCTTGGATTTTTAAAAGCAATTTTGAAGATTTTGGAGATTATGAGTTATATATAACTGCCTTTTATTACACTGTAACAACAATAGTAACTGTAGGATATGGAGATATTACTGCGAAAACTGTAAGTGAAAAGTTAGTTTCAATCTGCCTAATGATTATTGGTGTTGTCTCATTTTCCTATGCATCTGGAATACTAACTAATATAATCAATAATCAAGATTCAAACTCTGCTGAGTTAGTGTAGAAAATACATACTCTATAAGTGATAAAATAGAAATATAAAATAAAGCCAGAGTTGATTAAAAAAATCAAGGATTGGTTAAAATATTACCACTAAAAAACTCTTTTTGATGTTACTGCTTTTATGGATGATCTTCCAAATGGACTGAAAACAAAATTAGCTGTTGAAGCTAATCATTAACTCTGCGATTCTATTGATTTCCTGAAAAGATAAGACTAGCAATTTATTCTCTGGGTTTTTCCTCTCCTTAAACCATTTTTCGTGCCATAATATGACTATATCTACAAAGATGGTGATGAAATATTAGAAAGTAAGTATTTTCCTTTAAAAACAATAACTTTAAATTAATCTGTAGTTTATTTCTTGGAGAGCGGAGAAGCTGCATTTGTTCTTTAAAAATTCATTGATGACATCTATATTAATATAGAATAGGGTAATTATTTTGGAGATATTGACCTTGTTTATGATCCAAGAATACTAGAAAGTAAGAGTAGCGTCAAGTAGCTAATAATTAATGGAAAAGACATATATAGAAGATTCACAATACAAGCTATTAAAAATTGTGAGCTGCATTTATTATCAATAGATGACATTGATTAGATGAAAATAGAATTTTCTGAAGTTTTCTAAGATCTTTTTAAAAATAGCGAAACGAGGCTTGAAAAGATTTTGAAACTTAAAATTGATGCATCAAAACAATTAATATTGAAAAATGGCTTAGAAGAGCATAATTTAGATCCTAATTCTAATGCTTTATAAGAACTTCAAAAGAGAATAGCTTGAAAAAATAATGCTATAAAAAATAAACAACAGCACAAAAAACAGGAAAAAGATTAAAATAGACCAAGTAAGTCAACATAATCATTGAAGACAATTAACGAGGAAGATTAATAATAAAGTGAGTTAGATAGCATTTCAAGCTCATCACATTAAAGCGATTATACTAAAAGTATCATATCTGAAAAATATTTTAAAAACAAATATTTCTCTTAAGAACTAGAAGAAAATCCAACACCATAAAGAAGTTAATCTTCTATTTCAAAGAGAAAAAGTTCCTACCCAGACCTATATTAAAAAAGTAAACAAAAGAAAATCTATGAATCTGCCAATTAAAACTATTAGAAAAAAAGTTACAAGGAAAATAAGAATTAAATTACTAAGAATGATCACTTGAATAAAGATAATAATACAGCGGATTTAGGAGAAAGAGTTGATAAAATAGAAATTTTAGTTAAAAATTTGTTGAGTAATGTTGGCAAAGTTTATAATGCTATAATAGAAATAAGAGATAAAGCAGTTTGAAAATGATTGCTATAGTTTGAGACAAATTTAATTTCAATAATCTGAATTATGCTAGAAATACTTCCTGATGGGGTTTTGGGGTTTTGGGGGGATTTACTAATATTCTTTGAACTTCGA